TAGGTTTTACCCGCGATCAACTGGGTCGCCAGTCCATCAGCGAGAAGCGGCACGCGTCCAAAGACGCCAAGAGCACGGACACGTACCAGCGCACCAAGCGGGCGCGCGAGGAGCGCGAGCAGCAGCGCCGCCTGCTGGAGGCCGAGCTGCGGCGGGAGGAGGCGCACGACGGCCGGCCGCCAGGTCAGGCTCCAGTCCAGGGGGGGGGGAGGTCAGGCAGTCCCCGGTCCAGGGTGAGAGGTCAGGCAGTCCCCGGTCCAGGGTGGGAGGTCAGGCAGGCCCCGGTCCAGGGTGGGAGGTCAGTTAGGTCCCGGTCCACGGTGAGAGGTTAGGTCAGGCAACGGTCCAGGGTGGCAGATCAGGTCGGGCCCCGGTCCAGGGTGGCAGGTCAGGTCAGGCCCCGGTCCAGGGTGGCAGGTCAGGTTAGACTCCGGTCCAGGGTGGCAGGTCAGGTCAGGACCCGGTCCAGGGTGGCAGGCCAGGTCAGACTCCGGTCCAGGGTGGCAGGTCATGTCAGACTCCTGTCCAGGGTGGCAGGTCAGGTCAGGCCCTGGTCCAGGGTGGCAGGCCAGGTCAGACTCCGGTCCAGGGTGGCAGGTCAGGTCAGACTCCTGTCCAGGGTGGCAGGTCAGGTCAGGACCCGGTCCAGGGTGGCAGGCTAAGTCAGACTTAGGTTCAGGGTGGGAGGTCAGGTCAGGTCTTGCTCCGGTCCAGGGTGGCAGGTCAGGTCAGCTCCGGTCCAGGGTGGCAGGTCAGGTCCGGCTCCGGTCCAGGGTGGCAGGTCAGGTCAGGTTCCGGTCCAGGGTGGCAGGTCAGATCAGACTCCGATCCAGGGGGGCAGGTCAGGTCCGCTCCGGTTCAGGGTGGGATGTCAGACAGACTCCGGTCCAGGGAGGGAGGTCAGACAGGCTTCTGTTCGAGGTGGGAGGTCAGACAGGCTCCGGTCTATGGATGCGAGGTCAGGTCAGACTCTGATCCAGGGTGGGAGGTTAGACGCTTCTGTGCAGGGTGGGAGGTCAGACAGGCTTCGGTCCAGGGATACGAGGTCAGGCAGGCTTCGGTCCAGGGTTTAGGTCGGGTCAGGCTCTGGTCCAGGGGTGCGAGGTCAGACCGGGCTAGAGTCTGACCTGCAGCCGGTCGGAAGGTCAGGGGCTGGCTGTCAGTACGGGTCTGAGAGCATAGACCGGGCAGTAAGCCGTCGTGGTACGTTCTTCTGGCAGGTCGTCAGATGTGCCGTAACCTTCTGCTTCATGCTCCCTACGTCGTCCTTGTGTATACTGTGTGCTGTGACTAACCGACTTGTTGCGATTCAACTAACATTTTCTTACTTGAACGAGATAACAATTTAACCCACGCGGGTTGTGTGTCTGTGTGTCGAGGCATTGATGTGTACGGGTGAGGGTAGTAGTACGTTCAGCCTCTGTCTGCCTGTTAACACATCCGCTGCGAGTGTGCGTGTGTGCGCGCGTGTCGGCGGGGGCGCTGAGCCGCGCCTGTCCGGGCGTGTCGCCAGGACGCGCGACCACCGACGGCGGACGCAGCGCCTCACACCAGTCACTAACGCAGCCCGAGCCGCCCCAGCCGCCCAGTACGTACGCGCATGAGCAGTACCCGACTCTCCGCGCCACGCACCGCTCCCGGGCGGCACCAGGTGTCGGGTCGGGTGGAGGCCTGCGTGTCGTGCTCGTCTGTGCCCGGCGGCCCCCTCGGCTCACGGAATCCACTCGGATCGGCCGGCTTTGGTGTGGGTGCCTGTTTTATTCCAGCAGCGCTGTCCTCATGGAATGGGTGTTTATCATATGGTCCTCCAGCAGCTGTCCACCAAGGACAAGGCTCAGCGCCTGCCGTGCATGGTCAGCGGCAAGGCTGATATCTGCTCTGAAGGCGTTCCGTTCCTACCTGTCCATTACCTTGCACGGCGGGATAGCGCACGGCTCAGTTTCCTGTCCAGCCCGCCGCCCGAGGCCGGCATGGTACCGTTGTGGGCGCTATCTCTGACTGAGGCCCGCTGTCGGCCGCCGCCGGACTGTTTTCCCGATCTGCCGGCGGGCCGCGCCCCCCCGGTTGCGTGCCGCCGCCGCCGCCGCTCCATTGTGGCCGGTCACGCTCGGAGCGGCGCCGGCGGCGCGCGCCAGTCGGCAGCCGGCGGGCAGCTCAGGGCCGTCGCCGCCGTCAGTGTGCGCACCGCTCCGGGCGGGAGGCGACGCGGGCGGACGCGGCGGCGCTCCGTCTCTCGGTCAGACGATGCGGTGGCGTAGAGATCGCCGCCGCCGGCGGCGGTCGAGCCGTGCCGCTGCAGCGCGTGCCGCTACTGTCGTCTGACCTTCGGCCGTCCGTCCGCAGACGACGTCGGTCCCAGTCTGGGCATGAAGAAATCGTCCAGCCTCGAGTCGCTCCAGACCATGGTGCATGAGGTAAGCGGTGGTCAGTCGACAGCATCGGGCGGCGCGACCTGCTGTGGCTTCCGTATCGCTTCGTGGAGTGGTCGCGTTCTCGTATGACATGGGCTGCTTCCTAATACTGTACTTTGGTTGACATTTTGCCGGCAGTGCTGAGTTGTTTTTATGCTGGCCCGTGTATGATTGTTTCGATGTTATCACGGCGCGCGTCGCGCATTGGTTCAGCTGACCACTGCCAACTGGCTGCTGATGCCGTTGAGTTGTCGGTGCTGTGCGGTGACTGGTGGCGGCTGTGCCCTGGTTGGCTCAGCTGACTGCTGATGATGTCGGGCTGCCGGTGCTGTGCGGTGACTGTGGTCACGCCTGTGCCCAGCTGGCGCTGGCCGAGGAGGGCGAGCGGTCGTACCCGCACCGCGGCCCCGTGAAGGTGGTGCGCGGCCGCGGCTGCAACGAGAGCTTCCGCGCCGCCGTCGACCGCAGCTACGAAGCGCCGCTGGGCGACGACAACGGTGACGTCATGGAAACCGGTGAGCGGGGTGGAGGTCAAGGGTGAGCGGAGCCGAGGTCACGGATGAGCGGGGCTGAGGTCAAGGGTGAGCGGGTGAACGGGGCGGAGGTCAAGGGTGAGTGGATGAGCAGAGCGGAGGTCAAGGGTGAGCGGGTGAGCGGGGGGCGGAGGTCAAGTAGTACCAGCGGCCGGGAAGGATAACCAGGGACTAATGTCGGTGCTCTAAGGAAACAAAATACGGGCGGCTATCAAAAGGGACTGACAATAACGGGCTGATCAAAAGACAGAATCGTCTTAAAGTTGGCTGATGTCGGATGGAATCGATTAAAAAGGTGACTTAATTGTTGGTTTGGGAGACGACACAGATGGTCTGACGCTCTGGTGGCTCGCCGACTTGTGCTTATTTGGCTTCCAAACACCGATCTGTCTGCCTTGCCTATGGAGTTGGCCTTTCCTTGTTCGCGTATGATTTTCCCCTTACCTTTCTGCCGTCAGTTTATCTGACGGGAATTAAGTGGCATTGCCATAGATTGTCATTCCATGTTCCACCAACTTTCCGTAGCCTTTTCTTTTAAAATACGTGAAACTGCGCAGTGATATTTTGCATGCGTTTAATGTTGGAGGAGCGAAAAATTAGCGTTGTAATTAGCAGTTCGTTCTGAGCAGTTTATCAATACAGAAGCCTCACCATGAGCCTGATGATGGGTAAAACATGGTGTAAGATGCGTTGAACATCAAGGCTCCATCATTATCAGCACATGCATTTAAGTCAGAATCGACATGGTTAGCAAGATATCGCGTTAATGGCGTCTTCTTCAGTATGTCTGTTGCCCGCGGTCCGGTTAGCTTTGTGTGTTACGCGAACATGACTGTTGATCAGACTGAAAGGTTTAAAGAGCTGCTCTTGCGGCACACATCACGGGCATCACATCACATGCTTCTTGATTGATGACCGTACCATATTTTGTCCCGAGTGCCTCGAAGTCCCATAACCTCAGTTCCAAGCTGCTGTGCCCGTACCCGGCTGTGGCCCATCGCATCGCGCCGCGCCTTCTGCCGCCTGCCCCTGGCCGTGACCCTGGCCCTGACCCTGACCCTGACCCTGACCCTGACCGTGACCCGTCGGGCCGGCAGTGGACGAGGAGGCGGCCGGGCCGGACGCCGGCGGCGCCCTCTTCAGCCGGGACCGCACCGCCCGCCAGAGCTCGCTCAGCTCCGGCGCCGTCGAGGGCAAGAAGGCCAAGCGACGCTCGGGTCTGCTCAGGGGACTCGGCAGCATGTTCAGGTACGCAGAGGAGCCGCCTCGCAGTGGCCGGACGGGGGTCGCATGCCCGCGTGCCCTGCGGTTTCACTCGCTGATGTGGCGAGGGTGAAAAAGTGTGGGCGTTGGAACTTTCCCGTGAAGTTGATGCTTGAGCTTGCTTGCTCGATCCAAATCGAAGATGGGAGCACGTTAAGTCACTGACAGGTCAAAAATACGGCACTTCGTTTCGTATCTCATGCCATGATTATGTTCGTACGCCGTCGTGCTGGCCGTTGCGGCTCTGACGTCACGGCTGCCGCCACTGCCGGCGTGGCTCTGACCTTCCGCCTTCGCCGCCGGCGTTAGGTTCGGTCGGCACCGCAAGAGCAGGCGAGACGTCTGTCGCCGCCGCGGATGACGGGCTGACGAGCTGCGCCAGCAGCAGGACGAGCTCAACAGGATCGCAGCGCGGCGCCGAGCCGAAGACGAGCAGCGCCGCATCCAACAGCAGTACCAGCGGCTGGTACAGCAGCAGCAGCAGCAGCAGCAGCAGCAGGCCCAGCAGCAGCAGCAGCAGCAGCATTCGCACAGACCGGTGAGGGATGCTGCGACATCTGCAGCAGCCGCAGGTGCCCGTGCGCGGGCTTAGCGCCATCAGTAGTATATTATGGCTCGCGTGATGCAGGAACACCAAGGTTCGGGTATCGGCCATACAACCACGTTAGATGTGCGGTATGGCAGATCACGACGAATACGTGATAACCCAGTCCAGCAGGTTTTTTCAGAGGACGGATCGCATGCGGTCAGCAATGTGAACGCCGTCTTCTCGTGACGACAGTCCCCGCTCGCCTGCATGGTCCTCGCACGTCCTCACGCGTTCTTGATCTTACTGCTGACGTCTGCGCCGCTCCTGTGACTCGTGGACGTCTGTGCCGCTCCTGTGACCGCCACTGACGGCTACCCTGGGTGTGGCACAGGCGCCTCAGCCGCCCCCGCCGCCGCCGCCGCCCGAGAGGACGGCCAGATCGTCCGGAGCGGGGTGGCAGCAGCTGCGCGAGCAGCACCAGCGTCGCCACGCCGGCCGCCAGGGCGTGTACCGCACCGAGACGGCCGAGGAGCGGGCCGAGCAGCAGCTCAGGAGGTACGCTGGCAGTGCGGCCGCGAAGGGGTAACTGAACGGAGGAGATGGGTCCGTGGACGGTCTGTAGTGGGACGTGGGCGGCGGTGGGTCCATGACGCCTTGCAGAGTCGTGTGGCCGCTCTGGTGCCAGGAGCGCGGCCTGGCGCCCCGCGGCGGCGCGGCACGTGTCGCGGGTTCGCACACAGGGCGCAGCGAAGCGGGCAGGTTCTGCTGGAGTTGGTCCTGAGCCGGCGGTACAGCCGCGAGCCGGCGCCCGCTGGCCGCCCGGGTCCGCCTCGTCTCCGTCCCGGCGGCGGACGCGGCGCCGCTGACGGCCTGCGGACGGCGCTGCGTTTCAGGCGGAGCTGAAGCCGCACGTGCCGCCGCCGCCGCCGGTCCACCTCACCGACAGGCTCAACAATAACGTTTGCGAGGCGGCCTTCTGGCGCGCCGGGCCGCTGGCGCGCGGCGCGCGCAGCAGCGAGTATTTCCGCAACCGGCGGCCGGCGCCGCTCTCGGCCGAGCGCGCCGCCTTCTGGGTAGGTGGCGCCGGCGCGCGTCTGCGCATGCGCGCCGGCAGGCGGCGGCCTTCGACAGGCCCAGCACGGCACGCGGTCTGCACGGCGAAGCACGGACGCCACGCGGCCACGCGGCGGGCTGCGGAGCATGCGCGAACGCGCCGCATGCGTGCGCCAGCATGCCGCCTGCGAACTAACCCGAGCGGCGGACCTGCGTCACCGGAGAGGCTCCGACTAACGCGCGTGGTGCGTGACGGCCGCGACCGAATGCTCCGCACGCTAGCATGGCGCCGAGAGGTGGCGTTCCGCGCGCCGTGGCCTGCTGCGGCGCGGGCGTCGGTCCGGGTCGCGCCTGGACTGACGGCGGCTCGGTGGCTATTCTGTGTGTCTCAGTCCTCCGCTGTTGTCTACGTCCGGTGGACAGCTCGCTCTGCACCGTGACATTTGCTGCATGCTAATATCACTGTGTCTCCACTTTCGCTTCATCTGTCGTTTCCAGATGTAGCAGTGATGACAGTGCCGGTTGTTTTTGCCGTCGTGACCCGGCGTGTTGACTCTTTGGCGCTTAACGCGCCCCACCCTCCGCATTCTTGTCCGATGTGCGCGCTGGACGCTGGCGCCTTACGGCCTGCTGTGATGTCCTGTTACTCCCATGCCTGGTGCCACGCCACCCCACCCAACCCCCACTGGTCTTAAGTCGATGCTAGCCTTTTCTTGGCCATAAGACGCTCTCAGAGGAGTTTCCCCTTTCCACAAGACGTCAGCGGCTGTTGTTCGTTGACCTTACTGTGGAGTCCTACACGGTCTGCGTCGTGATGTTCTCTGCCTTCCAGCCGTCGCCGACCGATGCCTGTCCTCCTCCGGGACCGGGCATTGCGGCTTGTTCCGACGCCCACAAATGTGTCCGGACCCCGGTGGCCTGTGCCGGCAGCGGGCGGGAACCGGGACGCCGGCCGCCTGGCGCGGCACCCCTGACCCCTGCTGACCCCGGTGACCTGTGCTGACAGCGGGCGGAGGAGCCGGGACCGCCGGCCGTCTGGCACGGCTACCCTGAACCCCGGCTGACCCCGGTGACCTGTGCCGACCGCGGCGGAGGAGCCAGGACCGCCTGCCCGTCTGGCGCGGCACCCCGGACCCTTACGACTCGATGCGCCGGCCCGGCAGTCGGACCGGCCTGGCCGAGACCGGCCCACGCTACGTGCACCACCCCGGCTACGAGGAGGCGCAGTACGGTCCGCGGTGAAGTGTCGCGCCCAGCGTGGCTCGCTCGCTGCCGGGGAGGGCATGGACCGGTGTCGTGATGCTCAATGGGAGACGGAAACTCTGGGAAGTCTGGTGGGCAGCGGGTGCCGGGAGTTGGCAGGTCACTGCAAGCAGTCGGGGAGGTCTCGTCGAGGGCGCCACCCCAGGTCATACTGTCCGTGCCGGGGATTTTTGTTTGGTTTGGATTAGTCTTTTTCGGGCAGCAGTCGTCATTTCAGCGCTTCGGTATGAAGGAGAAGGGTAAATAAGCGGGCAATGCGGCAGCTGGCGTGAGAGACCCTCCCTGCCAAGCCTGACCCGGTGGCTCTGTGGGGTCATTGCGGCCGCTGGGCAGAGTCAGAGCCGCCGTGAGGTCAGCTCATGGCTGACGTGGCGGCGCGCTCCGGCGAGTGGAAGCGCTGTCAGGAGTTTAGGCGAGGCGCTGTCAGGAGTAGGGACGGGGCTGTCAGGAGTTTAGGCGAGGCGCTGGCAGGACTTGGGACGAGGCGCTGTCCTTGTCAGGCGAGGCATTGTCAGGAGTTTGGGGCGAGGCGTTGTAAGGAGTTGGGACGAGGCTGGTGAACGGGAACACCTGGTGGGTGTTTCTAACGGGGGGATGAGAAGAGTTAGACAGGAGTGGCAAAGAGTGGGCGCTGCCGCGTATGGCAAAATTTAGTGTCGTGACGCGTAATGCACGTGTAGCGATGTCACATGGGATGCGGAAGGCTGGTGGAGCGCTCCTGGTGGTGGGACCGGTGTTATGTCCGCATGGCTGTCAGTGTTGAAGAGCCGTCCTGGCCGGTGGTGGTCAGTCCTGGTCCCCTGCCGAGCACTCTGCGGCCAGCGCCGGCTGTTGAACGGTGCGGGACGCGTGTTCGCAGGCCCAAGCGCTGGAGTTGGGCAGGTACTGCTCGAGCAGCTGGAGGCCCAGTTCCGGGCGGACGCCAGGTGTGGGCTGTCGCTTCCAGCGGGGCCAGAAGCACGCGCTTGGAGGCGGACTAACGTGCATGGCCGGCGGGGGACCCTTTCCAGTGGCAACTGAGCTCGATTGGGTTGCGTTCGAATGCGGCTCCCCCCAAAGACGTGGCTGGGTTGTTACTAGCTGTTGAGATCGGTTGAATGAGAGTTGGCTGGTTTGCATGTCATGGCACGTTGCTGTTCGCCATTCCCTTGCGCTGACCGCTTTTCGAACTGCTTTGAATGCGTAACTGGTGACGCCTGAGCTGGCTCGCAGCTTGCCTTCGCTTCCCTGTCCCGGCTCACCTGGACTCTGCAGGAGCATGGGGGGCCTTAAAGCTATCCGCGGGCGCTGGAACAGGATTGAAAACCTAAAGTCGGGGATGTGTGCTTATTTAACAGTATAGTACGTACTGTACTAACAGTGCAGACGCATCGACTGAAGCGAGAGCTGAAATAACCGCAGCAGTGGCGCATCTGTCTGAGTTGCTTACAGCAGCCACGCCGGTGCAGCCAGCTTTGTATCCATGACTGTAGTCATAGCGCAAGATAACTGGCCGCCGTTTTGTCTGAGTTGCGCTGGCGGATTTCCCTGACCTGACCGATGCAGCTGAATAGATTTGTGTTCTTCGCAACTTTATAGTCTTGATGCTGCTGTTCGGAGTGCTGAGAATAGCTTTGTTGTCTTCGCAGCTTTATAGTCGTGATGCAGCTGTTCGGAGTGCTTAGAATAGCTTTGTGGTCTTCGCAGCTTTATAGTCGTGATGCAGCTGTTCGGAGTGCTGAGAATAGCTTCGTGGTCTTCGCAGCTTTATAGTCGTGATGCAGCTGTTTGGAGTGCTGAGAATAGCTTTGTGGTCTTCACAGTTTTATAGTGCGTCGTGATGCGGCTGTTGGAAGTGCTGATTCGTAGCCCGTCTTTGCGTCGTTCATTCCCTATTGATGCAGCGCGCGTTGCATGGCTGCGAGCGGCACCGTTTTGTGGCTGTGCTAGGCCGTCGCGCCGACGGTTCCGTTGTAACGCCTATCTCCGCCGCCAGCCGGCAGCACCAGGTATATCACTCGCAACGCGGCGGAAGGGTGGAGCCTCGGCCTGGTGATCGACCAATCGGCAGCTTCTACGAGTACGAGTCGGTGCAGGCGATGATGCGATTGGGTGGCGGCATGGGCGGCGGGGAGCAGTACTCCAATCGCTCGCTGCCACGTCACCACGAGCGGATTCGGTCCGTGGCAGCACACCCGCAGCCCGGCCACGGTGAGACCCGGCTTGTAGGGTAGGGAATTGGACGAAGGCATGCGGCGTCCAGTGTTGGGTTTACGACTTAAAGCGTTGGCATGATCTTTACATGATCATTGGACGAATTGTCTTCCTGATTTCATGCCAGCCTGTATTTAGTTAGATCTATCAGTTTATTCCTTATAGTAGGTGCACGATGTCGGCGCCTTATAGTCTGTACGTGATGTCACGTGCCATGTTGATGATTTGAGGATTTTCACGAATGTGCCGTTAGGACCGATCGTCTCTGACATCCGTATATACTTTTAATGAGGTTTCCGGTAGTGGGGGGGGGGGGGCTCCTAATGGCTAGTGGATGCCCCGCCCTTCCCCCTCCAACGTCATGTTGCGTTCGATGTTGCCACCGTACAGTGTAAAATTGGGACGTCTCCTTTTCGCACCGGTTTCCGTGTGGCACGTTGGAGCGCCGTTCTGCACCACCTGACACTGTGTTGGTGGCCGCCAGTTCTGAAGCACGCCATATCTGCCGGGCCGGGCGTCAGCCGCCGGCCGCAGCCGCTGGGTATCCCGACGGCCGGCGCTGGGGCCTCCGTACGGCCGGCGCGGATCGGAGGGCGTGCTGCGCGGCCCGCACCGGCCGCCGCCGCTCAGCCCGCCTGGAAGCCGCGTCTGAGGCCAGCGACATCTAGTGACCGACACGCCGACTCCAGTTGTACGCGACCCCCGCGTAACTGTCGCGCTGCGTGGCCGATCCTGCCAGAAACCGATTTTAGCCGTCGCGATCGAGTGAACGGGTGCGATTCGTCCGCACCGTGACATTCCAGAACATTCCTCTGCGTCACAGCGCGCAGCGCAGGGCTGTGCAGGTGTTTTACACTTGGTACTATACACTGAGGCGGTGGACTATTTTGTACGCGAGTTTACACGGCGGCGGCGCGTGCCGCCGACCAACCGACCGCCCGTATCGTGGCGTCCAATATACCGCTGGCCGGGGCCGGCGTCGCTACGCGAACGTTCCGTCCTGAGGGGCCTTTGTCTCGGGCGCCGGGCGCCGCCCGCCGGCGCGCGGCCGGGGCTGGGCTCCATGCCGCCCGCCGGCGCGTTGGCGGCGAGTCTGACGCAGCGTCTTCCGCGCCGGCCTGTGGCGGCGTCTCGACGCGCCCCCGTCGTGCGTGTCACTTGTTCCTGGCGACGCGGCGCGCTGCATCGCTAGGCAACTAGGCCAAAGTATTGTATCTGACCGGAGCGGACGGTGAATGAGACTGGTGACTCGAAACTGGTGTTTGACTGGAACGGTGGCGAGTGCGCAGAGTGGAGCCCACCGAACACCAATGACGGCCGGGGAAGATACGTCCGATCTGATCCACTGACTGCTCAGACACAGCCGTAAATGACTGCGTTCGAGATGTATGAGACACTACAAGCGCGCAGCCAGGCGTCGGGACCACATCTCGGTCGGTCTGTGTGGTTGCACTGCTGTCCGTGTGACTGATGCTGGCAGTGAACTATGCAGCCCAGACCGTTTATACCAGGCACAGAAAATGGCTTACACGGAATGTGGCCACGATGTGATCCGGCAACACCCGGCAATCCGGCGTGCCAGTCATCGGGTCAGGCAGGGTCAGGTGGTGCAGCAGGTCCGATCCAGAGGCAGGTCAGGACTGCCCTGCAGCACGGCCAGGTCTCTGGAAGCACATCGCTCGGTGCTGGCAGGTGGGCTGCAGCGGTGATTTTCTCAGATATAATTCCCAGAGCAAATTTATTTTGTGTGTGTACCGGGGCAGTCATGCACGCACGATGTTGCTCTGGAAAAGCTTTTTGTCGGCAATGTAAATTGCTCATTAGCCGACTGGCCTTCCTTGTTCAAATCAGCCCTGGTCGGCGCATTGCCCACTGCGGTCAGCCTGCACGCAGCGTGGCGGCCAGAACAGGGCGGCTTGGGAGAAAACTGATAACAACGCGCGGAGAGTGCGGCTGCGAGCATTTGTTATCTCTAGCATAGGGATATCAGCTCCCAGTACGAAACGCTGGCTTCTCTGGTTTGAATCGTATTCGGCCGACCCTGCTGCGGCGTATAAATGAATGTTGGTGGACCGGCGGCAGCGTCAATGTGTAGATACCGCCTACAATTCAGAATGCGTTTACACGGGTGCTCAGGGTGTGGCAATGCGCACACGATGTCACTACGGCACTGTCAGTAAGCAATGTAAAAAGGACATTTGCCGATATGACTTGTTGAAATCGCCCTTCAAGGTGCATTGCTAACGCAGGCGGCCGGCCCGCGACGTGGCCTCCAGAATGATGTGGCTCGGGAAAAATGAATGTAGTCGCGAGCGAAGAGTGCGTCTGTTTGCATTCCATAACTGGTACAAGCATCAGTGAAGGGGACTTGGTCCGGGTAAAGCTTCATGGCATAGCGTGGCGCCACGCAAACGGTCAGGCATAGATGTAGACAACCCCGGTCTTCCATACACGGATTCATGTTTGTATATCCCAGCCGCTACTCCGTTTAGCACATGCTACTTGTCTGCGTATACACACGGCGGCTCATCTGTACTTGTAAGGCATATGTATATTTGGCTATTGCCCGGTACGTTCCTCGCCGGCTGTAGATATTTGCCGGCGCGCCACAGCTCTGCGGCCAGCCCAGCGCCCCGGGTCTTGAGTTACGCTCCCTGAGGTGTCCAGGCGTGACGCTCCCTGCCCGCCAAGGTGAGCGACTTCGGCGATTTGCACTTCTAAACATATTACGCCAGTCCCCGTCTCTGGAAAAGACGCCCGCCTCCCCCAGGCAGCGTGCGTTGCGATCTTTCCCACCCACATGGCGAAGAAACCGGAAACACTGCGTATTGGGCTACACAAGGTAATACTTTTTGTTGACGCATGACGGGCATCGAGCGCAACGCCGTACGGTGTCATAGTCAAATTGCAGCAGGTGAAGCGACAGAAATCACTGGCGAAACAACTTCCCAAAAGCATCTGTCACGAAGTACAGTCCGCCAATGCCTAAACTGGCCGTTTCCCGACCACAAATTGCACATCGGTGGCGTGGTCGAGGCAATACATTGGCGTGCATGTCTACCGGCAAATGCCTCGCCTCGGACCACCCGCAACGACGGAAGCGAATATCAATGAATCCCCAGTAACCATCATCGGCACAAAGCCGTGTGGGACTCCACCCTCTCAGACAATAGACTGTAACGCACATGGAGTAAGTGACGCCCTACTTCGAGCTACGAAACATTACGGGCTCGTGAGCGAGCATACCACTTGATACAAAACCAGCGAGGATCAAGCCCATACACGATACAGCTCTCCCGGCACGACGAGTACGATGGATCCCGGCGGGGCATCTGAGATGCGCGCACAGCGCCTGCCCCCGCGCCATACAGTTCGCGTGTCTCATATCCGTTCCCCTATCTTCGCGACGCAGACTCCCTCCCTTCTCCGCCCACTTTTCTGCTGGGCCTCCGACGGAGAGTAAGCATCTGCGTATAGGGCGCGCGTGTGTAGCGGACCGGCGCCCGACTACACACCAGGCGTACGTGCGCTGTCCTGTCCCGAGGCCCCTCCAGCGCCGGTCCGCGGGTCCGCACACGCGTGGCTACTGCTCCCACACGAGGTCCGCGTCGTCGTCGCCTCCGGCTGCTGACTGGTCTGGCGGTCTAGTCTTCAGTCTGGCTGACTGAAGTCAGCCGAAGTCAACCGGGCCAGTCTTCGCTCACGCGACTCTGGCTTTTGGAGGGGCTATCTGGAGGTCACCGCCGCGGTCAGCCGGGCCAGTCCTCGCTGACGCGACTCTGACTTTTCGAGGGGCTATCTGGAGGCCACAGCAGCGCAAAGCACGTCAACTCCGCGGGCGTCCGCTGGGTTCATCTGAGCACTCACTCCTCCCCGGTGCCGGCTCAGACCACCGCCAGGTCTGCCGTCCGTAGTGGGCTGCTCCGTCAATGCCACCGACCACGAGTGGCACTGCCTGAGTCGCCGGCGGCCCCGGGCGCCCCGACGCAGACGTCCCGCCGCCTACCGCCGATCCATCAGCTCTAGCCGCTCGAACTGGCGGCGCGCGTTCCGCAGGTTCATGATGGTCGACGCCGAGGCTGTTGGATAAGGTGAACGCCCCGTCAGCGACAGCGGTCGGCGTGCGTCCAGCTACATCGCATCACGGGATAGACACAGCGCGTTGAAACCTGGCACAGCTTGTGAGCGGTGAGCAAATCAACCTAGGTTCATCCCATGCTCACAGCATGAGACGGATACGCAGGTCACTCCTTGTTTCCACTGCGTACAGACCAGAATGAAGTCTGCGGTGCAAAAACTTGTGCCAGCATCGTTGCCGTTAGCTTCCAAGAGGACCACGCTGACCACGCTAGCTGCTATACGGGATGAATCACACGAGATAGTGGTTGCATCTTCATATTTCCTTTCGCGATTGTCCTCCCGGAGCGACCCCCACCAGACGCCATCCCACCCCCAGTGTTGCGTGCGGTTCTCTGCGGCCGCTGGCTATGCGGTCCGTACTGCTCTCAGTCCACCTTCCCTCGGGGACATACTCGCGGATAGAGCGGTCTGCACCGCTCTCTGTCCACCTCCCCTCGGGGGCCACGGAAAGAGCAGTCTGTGCTCCTCTCTGTCCACCTCCTCTCGGGGGCCACGGAAAGAGCAGTCTGTGCTCCTCTCTGTCCACCTCCTCTCGGGGGCCACGGAAAGAGCAGTCTGTGCTCCTCTCTGTCCACCTCCTCTCGGGGGCATACTCACGGATAGAGGTGTCCGACAGGATCACCATGCAGTATGTGTTGGCGGTGAACGTCTCGATAAATGCCGAGAAGTTAGAGTTCCGCACCTCCATACTTTGACACTGCGCCGCCAGCTTGCTGCAGGAGCACAAAGGGCGCGTCGGTTCGCAGTACAGACGTGATATCGGTCAACGCGGAACACGCCTATTCCACCAAGCACTGCTTGCGCTCGCTTCCTCTCAGAGGCTGAACATCTCCCGGCCCCATGCGACTAGACTTTGCGCGGGCGTCCAGGGAAGGCACGTGGACTCAGCACCGCACCACCCGCACCGACCCGCAGATACTCAGCACCGCACCACCCACACCGACCCGCAGATACTCAGCACCGCACCACCCACACCGACCTGGAGCTACTCAGCACCGCGCCACCAGTACCGACCTGGAGCTACTCATCACCGCGCCATCCACACCGACCTGGAGCTACTCAGGGCCACGTCACCCACATCGACCCGCAGATACCCAGCACCGCACCACCGGTACCGACCCGCGGTTACTTAGCGCCGCGCCACCCACACCGACCTGGAGCTACTCAGCACCGCGCCATCCACACCGACCTGCGGCTACTCAGCACCGCGTCATCCGCACCGACCTGCGGTTACTCAGCACCGCAACACCTACACCGACTCGCAGATAATCAGCACCGCACTACCTACATCGACTTGGAGCTACTCAGCACCGCGCCACCCGCACCGACCTGGAGCTACACAGCACCGCGCTGCCCACACCGACCTGGAGCTACTAAGCACCATGCCACCCGCCCTGCCGCTACTCAGCACCGCGCCATCCGCTCCGACCTGCACCTGCTCAGCACCACGCCACCCGTACCGACCTAGAGCTCCTCAGCACCGCACCATCCGCACCGACCTGCAGCTGAGCTTGAACTGTTTGATGATGTTGGAGACCTTCTCGAGCCGGTGAGGGTCCTTGTGGTCCTTGCGCTCGCAGCAGCTGATCACCAGGAACGTGGCGCGCTCGAACAGCAGCACCTCGTCAGCGTCTGGGGCAGGGCAGCGCGCGCCACTCAGAGCACCGCTCGGGACCACCTGCTGCGCCGCCGGCCGCTCCACGTGCGGCCCAGCCAGGCCGATGGCGAGACTACACAGGCATGCAAGGTGCATGCCAAGTGTCTGCCCGGCATGCTAAGAGCACGCCAAGTGTTCGCCAGGCATGTCAAGTGCATGCCTGGCAAAGTCAATGGGAAATGTTGTTAGGCGCCAGCACTCCGCACATCCCTTGATGGTCACGCAAAGAAAAGCTGGCGCGTCAGATAGCATTGCATGAATGTCTAAGGTGACAGCAAAATCCTTGCGCTTGTCTGTGGCACGTCGATCACCGCGGCTGTTATGTGGCGTGGAGGAACTGCCATAGTCCCGGAAGAGGCTCGTAAGACAAGCCTGCCGAGTTCCATTCCTGCACCTGACCACCATTATAACAGTGGGAAGCGCTGGAAGCAGGACAGCTCTGCTGACCCACCGATGATGTCGGCGAACTGTTTGAGACACGACTCCAGCATGCCCACGTTCGGGATGAGCCGGTACACGATGCTGGACCAGGCCTGCCAACAGAGGCCCTCTACATCATCCGCACCAGGGCGGCCGTGTCACGCCAAGGCGGCCGCCGTCAGCTTCAGGGCAACCCGCCTGTCATCCACCAAACCAAGCTCCGACACCAATAGGTACGTGAACAAAGTCTTAAGTCAGCGACAACGTCTTAAATACCGGCCAGCCCCTCCACAGCTGACAAGCGCGTACGGCGGCAACACCCTGACGTCCAGAATCCGGAGATGGGGCTCACCTTGTACAGGGTCTCGTCCCAGATGGAGGTCTTGAAGCACGTGATGTCGAGCGGCTTACTCCTGACACGCAGCTCCTCTTCGCGCTCGCGAAAGACCTGTCAACCAGAATCAAACACACTTTCTCTAATTTCCATGACCATCCTGAGAACATGCTGAACAGATCAGCACGGGCGCTACACATAAGAAATGATCCCAAAATGTTCCAGGCGATCCCCCTCCCCCCCCCCCCCCCCCCCCCCCCCCACGCGCATCTCAAAATCATTATAAGCAAGACGCCTGTCCCGAATGGTAAAATCCGCTGTCTCTTTTTGCATGGACACAGCAGTACAACGCTGCTTGCACACCGCTAACCATGTTCCTTGACCCATCTTGTAAGCCTCGGTTTTGGCGTTCGCCGCCTCATGGTAAAACCAGGTTCCACAATACACTTCGTAAGATGCGTTTTGAGCGCAAGCTGCCTGACTTTAAGGCTGTCCGATGTGTCGCGAGGTCTTCAGACCGGCGACGCATAGCCCCCGACGGCCTTCAGGGGGACCCACCTCCTCACGGGAGTCCTCCCGCAGCAGGTCCATCTTGTGGATCAGACAGAACACCTTGGCGTCGCGCGAGTTCTCCAGCAACGCCTCCAGACACGACTGGTAGTAGTGGAGGTCCTTGTCCAGCTCGCGAGACTCGATGTCGAACACGTAGATCAGCACTTCCACGTTACGAAATATGCTGTCGCGCTGGCTGGCGAAGTAGTTCTCCATGAATGCCTCCTGGCCTCCGCAGTCCCACAGATTCAGCATCAGGTTGCCCAGGAAGCGGACGTGGCAGTGCTCGACGTCAACTGCGGACCGGACCCGGCCGGCGCCGCGTCACACGAGCCTCGCCGGTCACAGAGTCACTCGCTCCGACCCATGGCACAACAGGTCACCCACTCCAACTCATGAAACATCAGGCCACCTGCTCCAACTCATGGCACAACAGGTCGCTCGCTCCGACTCTGGCACAACAGGTCACTCGCTCTGACTTTGGCACAACAGGCCACTCGCTCTGACTCCGGCACGACAGGTCACTTGCTCCAAATCGTGGCACAACAGGTCACTTGCTCTGAGTCTGGCACAACAGGTCACTCCCTCTGACTGATGGCACAACAGGTCACCCACTTTGACTCATGGCACAACAGGTCCCTCACCCTGACCCTGGTGCAACAGGTTGTCCGCTCCAACTCATGGCACAACAGGTCACCTACTCTGACTCACAGCATAACAGTACACTCACTCCCACTCATGGTACAACAGGCCACTCACTCCAACTTGTGGCACAACAGGTCATATGCTCTGAGACTCATGGCACAACAGGTCACCTACTGTGACTCATGACACAACAGGTCACTTGCTTCGACTCATGGAATATAAGGCCACTTGCTCCAACTCATGGCACAACAGGTCACTCATTCCGACTTCGGTGCAACAGGTGGCGCATCTCGAACATCTTAGTGTCAAGTTGGCTCAGTTAATCATCATGGCCTGCTGATATTCAGGAATAGATCAGCCAACAGCAGCCTTGGTCATGGTCACACACTGGGAGAATCAAGATGGAGCTGCATGTTGAGCATGTACAAGTGTGTTTTGCAAATATTACTCACTGGTTGCACCCAGCCGTCTTGTATCGCGAGCAATGTAGTTGGCAAAGATGATGGAGCGCATGCTGGTTTTTCCTGAGCCGCTCTTGCCCATCAGCAGAACCTGTGATGAAGAAACCAGACACACATGTACACACTGATAACATTCTTAAGAAAACAATGGCTGTCTGTTACAATGGAACAGAAGAAATCCAACAAAAGCCCCTGTGTGGTGCTGTTCAGGCTGAATTTGTTCTTAAATGAGAACTGTGACAGTCTCATCAAAACCTGGCTTACAAAAAAGGTTGAAAATGTGATGTGGGCATGAAGCAAGTCATACTGTTTGTTTCTAACTTGCATTTAAATCTCAAGTATTTCTGTACAGATGGGAAGATGGTATGCTGTGAAATCTAACACAGGGTTTATATGATAAGAATATTTATCATCAGGATTGTTTCCCTTAAATGTGCCATGCACACCTAGAAACTGTGGTGTAAAGCTATCTTAGCAAGATAGATCAGTGGTCATAACTACATGCTGAACTGTAGAACAATCTGAAAAGGCACTGTTTTAGGTCATAAACCTGCCAGCACTGGATTGTAGCTTGATGATAGATTTTCAAACATGACCTCTTTGTGCATTTCACCCACGGTCTTGTAATTCTTACATCCACCCTGATCATGTCAAAATTGATTTCACCTATGGCTTGCATTTCCTAGCTACCCCACTAGCTGGTTCCACACAAATGCAGTTGGGCAATGTCACATCCTTACTACAGCACCAAATGGGTCAACTTGCAACAAAGCATTTTGCATTTCTTAATATGATGCAGAAGCATTACACATGTTGTGGTTGCATGATGCATGACAAATCTGACATACTGAGAGTATGTAACAAAAGAGCATAATAGATAAGGTATACACATGCAAGAACTTTATGCACTAACCTTCTTTTTTAAAGTCACACTCATCTTGAAGGTGATATCCTTTTTTACTTGATGTTATGAATCGCCTCTGGAAACCAAGCCTGTAAAATGCAGGTGCAGTACAAACAAAACAAAAATGCTTAACTGTCCTATTTATATGTGTGGCACTGTTGTATATTATTTAAAATAATGTATCCAGACCACTTGTTGCAAAACACAGATAACCATCATCTAAATTTGAATACATGAAATTGCTGCATGAAAGCAGCAGCATGATTGCCACACTTTTTTATTTAACTTGACAACATTTGGTTGAAATTGTGCACATTCTCCTATTAGTCAGTGAGAGCATCTATAACATACTTAACAAAGAGGTTTTAAAACTATTGTTCAAACATTGAGATACACTTCATTCAAGTTTGCATTTTAGATGTTGTGACATTTATGCTATCATCTGAAGCCACAAGAAAAAATATACTCAAGTACAAACAATTTTCTTCAAGCTTCACTCAGATAAAAGGCCAGTGTGGTAAAGATCCAGTGTACATTTTGGAAAGGAGTGAGCTTCATGGGCATCAACTGACCCTGTAAAAGTGTTGCTCAGATATGACATTCCCATGGCACTGGAAGTCCATAAAGCCAGGGGCTGGTTGCAAGCTTCACTGAGCCCCTTTCATGAGAACTCTATTGGATGTTGTGGTAGGTAGTTTACTGGAATGCCTGCCTGAATCAATGTTATAGATACCTCATAGTGTCAATGCAAGCTTTCTGATGCACTGTGATGTTGACAGCCTTATTGTGTAATACCTGCTGTCTACAGCGAGCACAATTTCAGACATACCTTAAGCATTAACAAAACATATTCCTTTGACCAGGCATGAAGAGGCTGTCATCAAATCTGCATATGATGTTCCAACATGCATTTTTGTAGTACAAACAACCAACATCTTTTACTGCCCTGGATTTCATGCTAACAAAGTGAGATTATCTCATAAATAATGCCATTTAATATTCTTTGAAAAAATGTATCCATACATATATATATATATATATATATATATATATACATATATATATATATATATATATGATGAAAACTGGCATATGGCAATGCCACAACACATGACATAGACTATATGCACAATTTCCTGTCAGATGTTCCACATCTTCCTCTCATATTATCAGTGTTAAGCAAAATACACTCAATATTCAAGCTCTGCAGGGAAGCTGTCACTCCAGGCAAAAAACAGATCACGAGATACACACATTTGGAGGCCCACTTATACACAAAAGAAATAATGGCAATATGCACATTACTCTGACGACTACCTAGCTAAGGATATAATGCACTTTAAGTTCAAATCTAGTCAATTCCGAGTACATACAGCTTCTCTCCGTCACCGCACTCAAACGAACACCGTAAACACGGCTCCCGCTGCTGCGCAGGGCATGTCCACATATGTCGTCCCGTCGCCTTATTTGTCGCATGCTATTGCGGGAAGATACCGTTTCCCTTTTTTGTAGCTGGCACCGTCCTCAGGCACAGACCGCACAATCTTTTTTAACTTCACAATTTTGTCGCTCATTAACAGTTTTATTGAATGTGGTGAATCTGGTGGGCTTAGATTACTGACTTAAGGCCAAAGTGCACATGGAAAAGGTGCGTATGCGTTAAAACGTATGCATTTGATCATGAGCAGATGCATTTGGGGCGCAAAGTGAATCGACAATTAAGGGCCCGATTTGAGGGCTTGGAAGGCATGCCGGGGGTGGCATTCAGAGGCCCTAGCCCGCAACGCTGAGCGCTCCAATGATAACCAGAGGGTCATTTGCGCCATTTGGGGCCGCCTGGGTCAATAAGGGCCTATATGTCTTTTAGACGCCACAAGTACCGCACGAAGGGCTGGCCAAAATCTTTTTCACCGGCCCCGTCCTGTGAGGACAGGCCTTCAGATGACATTCAGGGACCCCTTTACGCCGATCTGGGGTTCCCTGAGTAGATAAGGGCCTATCAGTTGGCCAGACACCAGCAGCACTGCAGTGTCAGCTCCGTGTCGGCTTTGGCCTTCGAGCCTATTTCCTAAGCAGGGAAACGCTGGGGACAGCGATTTTCATTGATCAAGGCCCTAGCGTCTGTCGGGGGCACAGTGTGCCAACAGCGGAGGTGCCATATATTGACAAGAGTCCCCGAGTCTGCCAGAAGCAGTATTCGAGGAGGCCTGAGAAAAATCTGGAGGGCCCACCGGCACCGACGACCAAGAGCCCGATTGGAGGGCCTAAAGTCAGGAAGGCCTGATCGGGGTTTTCCTCAGAGGCCCGAGCTTATACGGATAGGCCCTCAGATGACAGCCGGAGACCCCTTTGCGCCGATCGGTGACCCCCCTGAGTCGATAATGACCTATATGCCGGTCGGGGACCGCAGTAAAGTATCGCGCAGACGGTTCCGTGTCGGCATGGGCCTAATGGCTCGCCCCCAAGCAGCGACAAAGCCGGGGCCAGCGCATTACACATTTCGAGACTCCTGTATCTGTCAGGGGCCCATAATGCCTACTAGGGGTCATGGGTTGGCAAGAGGCCCCGAGCCCGTCACAGGTTTTGTTTGATGAGACCGAAGAGGGGCCAAGGGGCCACTCGGGACCGAGGTCCAAGGGCTCGATTGGAAGGCCGAAGGGGCCGAAGGGGCCGAAGGACTGGCCGTAGGTCACAATGAGGACGGTCTCGCCCGTGGGGCTTCGACGTCTGTTATTTGATGGCATCGATAGGCTTGTTTTGATGGCTTTGGGCCTTGGAGGCGTTTTGATTGTTTAATGGCATATGCCGTTTCAATCCAGTCGGCCCGAAGCGCCGATTTTAGTCTGACGCCCTCATCACAATAGCACACTTGGTGCTGGTGCGCCGGTCGGAGCAGGAATATGCAAAAATAGTGCAGTAATATACATACATTCATTTCGCACCCGCCGTCCGCGACCGTGTGAACATGATGGCACTGTGATAGGAACACCGGCTGGCAACGTAACTTTGTTATCGGCGGGTGGCGACATGTTTGTTGATATGATCCCCTGATCGCGCATGAATGAATGTGGCCGACCGGACGGAAGAGGCGTGGCGAAACTACGGTAGCCTTCGGAATACACACACACACACACACACACATATATATATATATATATATATATATATATATATATATATATATATATATGTGTGTGTATATATATATATATATATATATATATATATATATATCCGTGTGTGATATGCTGTGTGATATCAGCTGACACTGCAACTTCCCGACGATCGACGGTATGTAATTGATTCGGTTGATCTGACAGCGCATCATCCAATGCTACCGGGCTAGTGGTGACGTGGACTTGCCAACTACACGGCGTGTAATTAACGATAACTGTCGTGTGGTGCGTTGGAACCGCGTGCATATGAAAGCATAGTGGAAGGGATATCAGCTGGCAAAGTTACTTTGTTGCTGGCTGACCGCATCTATTGTCGTCATGTGACACCTGGCATTGCATTTTTTTTCGATAGCAGGATGCCGGCCGGCGGGGAGCGCGGTCGTAGACACTCTCAAACTCCCTATAATCACATGCGGAGAATGCAGTCACGTGGTCTTGATATCACTGTTGTAGGGCGTTCAGCTGTTACCTTAACATCGCTGCCGGTCGATGGCATCCACTTTACTGGGTTTGCACTCGGATAGCGCATTACTTCACTATGCTGATGGGCCGGCCGGAGCGCGGATTTGTGAAGCTACAACAGTCATAGACAGTTAAATATTTCCCAGCGCTATCAGCAAAACGTAACGTTGTTATCGGCGACGACACCTTTTTTCTTCATATCGCTCTTGGTAGCGCCTTCCTCGTATCGTTTTGCTACAACCCCTCCTTGCGAAATGGAAGCCCTGTTTCCCTTCCCCATTTGGCTTTGTGGCAGGTTACGAATTTCGTGTGTCCCATATTAAAGCAATAGGTCACGCTTACGCGCACCATGCGCCACCCGTCACGCTGAGCAGTGCCATATTTTTTTCGAATGTGGAATGTTCCCTTTAACACATGCTCGGGTATGAGGTCAAATCGGCCCCGCCCCCGAAGGCTTTCCAGAATGATTTGCGACCGGCGAGGCATGGCCGTGCAGTACTTTGCATGGCTGTGAGAATGAAATGGTGGACCACCCTATCTTTTCAATAAATGTACATTGTTAGGTCACTGACCTATGGCAGGTCAAAGTCAGGCTATGGCATCGAAGGGTATTTCTAGCGAATCGTTCAATGTGGTGCAACAACGGTGTGTTCGACGGAGTCGTATATGTTTGAAAAAATCTCTCAGGCGATAAACCAAATGAATTTGAAAATGAAATCAATTATATTGAACTAGGATCAGGTATTAGGCTAGGTGGAGGTCAAAACTCACCTGCCTGTTTACTCGAAAGCTTGGTTTATGGGGTCGCTTCTAGTGCTCATTTCAAATTTGTCAATGGCAGAGACCGCAACGGACTTTTGTTACATGGACTTTTTAAAGGTCAGAATAAGTTACTGGCCTGAAATAACTCCGGTCAAAACTTGGTTTTTAGGAGCATATTGCGCGGCGTAGTCCCTTGCGCTTATTTGGATGGCGAAATGGAAACAATCTTGTATGTATGTGTTCGTCCTGACCTTATCAATGTCAAACAAGGTCACTGCCCATAGTTGAACACCATTAGCCTTTTGCTTGGAGCAAGTATCTAGCTTCACAGCGGTTGCCTGAGGAGGTCTGGGGGCACTTGAGACAGTACTCTTGAGTTTGACCTTGTTTGACCTTATATGATCCCATGGTCACGACCTAGGAGCCTCAGATTTTGACCCGAGTGAGTTCACGTACAGGTTAAGCCGCTCTCTGAATTTGGCGCGTCTAGCTATCTGATTTTTTTAGGTCTCAGGTTTTTTTAGGACAACCGGCCACCAGTACGCGTGTTGAGAATATTTACCAGTTTTTGAGTTATCCGCATTGCATTCTCCATGGTGTACTTCATGTGTTCCTGGTCATGAAAAATAGACTCAATCGAACCAGAGATAAGTTAAAGCAGACCAATATAGCGCACTGTTTGAAATTTGCCGACAGACACTATGAAACCCGCAAAGAAAACTAAATTGGCCGGGCTGCGAGTCTTAGCCGACGTCTAATATGGCCCTACAGGGAGGGGGGGAGGGGGCACTAAAAACACATGCACACACACACACACACACACACACACACACACACACACACACACACACACACACACACACACACACACACACACACACACACACACACACACACACACACACACACACACACACACAAACATCACCATACAAGCACGCATGGGTGCAGGAAAGGGTGGCAGCGGGCCAATTGTCCCCACTTTCTCAAGGTAGGGGTAGCAATGTGAACTGCCTCCCCCGCCCCACTTTTTTTAGATTTACGGCGAGTTTAGATTGCTTTTGTACTACCATTAACACGCATTCTGATTTCCCTAGTTCACAGTCATCTTCCTGAAGATGAGTCATTTTTTTTCATTTTTCCTTTAGCCGTTGCTTAACGTCACAGCCGTGGAGCCGACGCCACGCGGCCTGTGGAGACTGCAACGTCGGGCGTCGACGCTGTCGTTGCAAGATTTGCGAGCGCGCAAGTTCAGACTCATGTTACATAATTTGTATCGATAGCCCAGT